CTGCAGGGACAAGGGCAGGAGGAGACGCCGTGGGGCTGCTGCGATGGCCCCAGCTCACCCTCCCGCTCCCCTCAAGGGGAAGCTCGTCTCTCGCACAACTGCCCACCACACTCCTTGCGATACGTTGCTACTGAGTTAATTTGCTCAAAGACATCTTCTGATTGATCTGAATGACGGGAGTTTCAAGAGCTAGCACACACGGGACAGGGAGAGGTCACGGGGAGTCGGACTCGGGCCTCTCTGTAGGGCGGGAGGCCCTGGAGCCCGTGTCCAGGCCCTGCTGTCCTCCAGTGCCTCCCGGGGCCTCTCAGGCCGGAGCAGGGACGTGAGCTGGTCAGAGACGCAGCTGCCCCCTGGAGCAGCGCCGTGGCCCCTCCACGCCACCACCCTCCCAGCCCACTTCACTGGGTTCCCAAGGCACTGCCTGGCTCTGCCCCAGGACCGCCGCACCTGTGCACCTCCCTCTATGTTCACAGGGTTTGCTCACCACTCACCACCACGTGGTTGGGTGGGATTGGCTTTCGGAGGAACGTTCGCATGAAAATCGCAACCAAATTTGGCCCCATGGCCCCCAGGCCCCACCCCGATGCCCATCCTGCCCTTCTTTGCCCCCAGTACCAGTTTGTGCCCCAGGGGGACAGCCCCGTGGTACTCAGCGTTGATGCAGACGTAAGGGTCTGAATAGCCACAGGGCAGGAACCAGGGGGGGCGAAGGTCAGCAGGCCACACGTGCAGGTCCAAAGTGGCCATGGCCGTGTGGCTGGGTTCTGCATTCTCCTCCTGTGTGTCCTGCAACAGCAGAGCCCGGCTGGATCAGGCCTGGGGGTCCAGGGCTGGGGCAGCTCGGGTGGGGACCTGAGCATCCGGGCCTGCTCACCCGCACCAGCAGCTGGAAGGTCATTTTCTGCCACGAGTAGAAGTCCAGTGGCTGGTCCAGCCGCAGGGCAGGGAGGTTGGTACCCACCAAGGAGAAGAAGTTACTGGCGCCCTGGGGAGGCAGAGGGCGGGACTCAGCCTGGGACCCTGGGAGGACACAGAGAGGGGGGATGCTCAAAGGGGGGGTTTGGAGTCGGTGTAGGGGTGGGGGGGCCAACACTGACCGGGGTCACCTCCTGGAGGGTATAGAACAAGATGTCATCCTTGTCGAGATCCTGGGCCTCCAGTTCCGTCTCAGGGATGACAATGGTATTCACTTTAGTGTCCTGGGGGACGCAGGGGGAGTGTTCTGACTACACCGTTGACCCCCATGGATGGGTCCCTGAGGCCAAGCTGCTGGCCCCTCACCCCAGGCCCCTCTCACTCACCTCAGACATATTCTTCGACTTATTTTCAAAGGGGAACTGGGGCGCGTTGTCATTGATGTCCAGCACGAACACCAGCACTCTCAGCTGGGTCACCTGTGGGGACAGGGTGGAGTCAGCAGCGGTGTGCTCTGATGGCCTGGGGTACAGTGCACAAGACAAAGCTGTCTGCTCAGGGCCCCTGCTCTGCAGGGGCTACACACAGACCAGACAGCAACCCTGCAGCACACACGGTGGCCAGTGCCCTGGAGGAAAAGAGCACAGGTGCTGGGCGGGGTGGGGGCGCCGGCAAAATCCCAAATGAGAACAGTGGTAAAACACTTGAATTGCTTCAAAAATAATTCTCAAAGAAAAGGAAGAAAGGAGAACCCATAGATTGAAAGAGCCTTAAGAGGGGAGCCTGGCTGGCTCAGTGGGAGGAGAGAGTGACTCTTGATTTCGGGTTGTGAGTTAAGCCCCATGTTGGGGGTAGAGATGACTTAAATAAACAACCAAACTAGAAAGGAAAGAAGGAAGAAAAGAAGAAGGGAGGGGGGAGGGAGGGAGGGAGGAGGGCGCTTAAGTAGCGGCCAGTCTCAATAGGTGGGCTTTGCTGGGGTCTCTGTGACTGTGGGAAAGGGCGGACATCAGGTGTCATATGATGCTGACGTGGCAAAAATATTATGTTTATGTTTAAGAAGCGTTCTCATCTTTTAGAGACTCATCCTGAGATATCTGTGGGTGGTGTGCTGCGGTGTCTGGGTGGGGGCACCCAGGGGCTCCGAGCACAGGAGACCATGGTTAGTGGCTCCTGCCGAGATGGCAGGTGCGTGGAGGCTGGGCTTGCAGCTTAGAACAGAGCAGTCGGTGCTTCTCTGAGAAGGTGATCTTGGAGTGAAGACACGAGACCGTGAGAGAGGGAGGCAGGTGCACATCTGGGGAGAGGGCTCAAGGCCAGCCGGAGTGGGGTCGGGGACCATGCACCCAGCCTTGCCCACCACATGATCCATTTGGCCTCGACTCTGAGTGAGAAAGCAGCCGGAGGTGTCCACGTGCTTGATCAGAGCGTTCTGCCACACTGAGAGCGGACTGGCCAAGACCAAGAGAGGAGCAAGCAGACCAGTCGCCAGTTGGAAGCTTCCAGAAAGGAGATGCTGGTGGCCAAGGCTCTGGTTGGTTTGGAGTCCAGCTTGAGGCAGAGCCCACAGACTTGCTTGTTGACAGAGAGACGTCGGGGAGAGAATGGGGGGAGGGAACTGGCAGGGTGAGGTGCCTTCCATGTTGGGGGGTCTCTGTTGGGGTCTGCATCTCGGGCAGAGTCTGGGCTGGAGGAAGTGTGGACGCCAACATACCACAGGGTGAGGTCACCAGGGAGTGGCCCCGGACCAGGCTGAGCAGAGTGCAGAGGTCCGAGCCTGGAGTGTGTTGATGTCACAGGTTGAGGGAGGCCACAAGGGGCCGGGGGATTTGGGGGTACTCACCACGGTGTCACCACTTCTGCACTCCAGGTGCGCCTGCAGCATCGTGTTCTCCTGAGGGGGCAGACAGGTGTCGGGGATCACCTGCCCAGCTGACCACAGCATGCTGGCCCCACGTCACAAGTGAGGAGACAGGCAGAGAGGGTCCCCAGCATCCGTGCTAAGTCCAGAGGGCACTGGGGGCCCAGGCAGCTCCATCCCCCAACGGCCCTACCCGCCTTGGGGCCCAAGAGGGGTCAATCGTTGCCTGGGGGGGGGGCACAGAAGCCTCAGACCCCTGGAATGCCCTTGTCCGGGGAGGGGTGTGGGTGGACGCACAGGTCCTATGGAGGGTGAGCCACCCAGCGGCCCCCATGGGGGTGCCCTGCCCAGGCCTGCCATCTGCACCTCATAGTCAGGAGTCACATTGAGAAACAGCTGAGTCCCCTGGATCCGGAACGCGTAGGGGGTGGACGACTGTCCGAGGGTCACCTGCTGGCCCGCGGGGACGTAGATGTCAGCCAGGGGCCCGCTCTGATTCGTGTTCTCCTGAACTTCGAAGATGGTGTTGTTCACAGAGCAGACTGGAAAGTTGGAGAGGAAGGTTCAGTGCCCTCCTGGCGCCTGCCTGCCTGCCTGGAGCCCAGCCCACCTGCCCTTGCCCCATAGGTACCCTGGCCCTGGGCCATGGCCATGAGCAGTGGCAGCAGCAGGGCCCAAGCCCCCATCTCAGCGGCCGTCAGCCAGGCGGACCCTCTGAGCAGCTGGTGGTGGCGCTGGTGGTGGCGTCTCAGCCTGGGCGACCTTCGCCCCTGCCAGGTACCGCCCCACATTATGATCCTTTACAAGCCACCGGCCTCCACCAAGGGGGTTCCCGCCGGCCGCCTGGCCAGGCCTAGCCTACTGCCGGGAGGGGGAGATCCGGTAGTGCCCCACCAGAGCTGGGCCACATGGGGGGGCCAACGGGGCTCAGCTCTCAGACACTGAGACATGACACAGAAGGCGCTCAGGGCACCTGAGTGGGCCTGGGGAGGTGGCTGGGGGGCGTGGCTGGGTGGGCAGAAGCTGGGGCAGGGGGTTAGGGGCTGGGGGGTGGTAGGGACTGGGGCAGGGGCTCAGCCCTGGCTTCTGTGTTGGCTGTACCCACCCCTCCCTCCCAACCCCGGCTGCCCCTCTGCCGGCCTCTTCTGCCAGAATCATCTTGGAGCAAGGTTCAGGCCCCAGGTGTGCCCTCCAGGTGTGCCCTCCAGGTACACCTCCTCTCCCCACACCAACCATCTAGGTCTGGAAGGAAAAGGCTGTTTGTGTCCTAGGGTCACCACTGCCTGTCCCAGAAACAAGCCCGTTTCCTCCAAGGGGGTGGGGTGGGCAGGGCCACAGAGATGGGGTTGGGTGCTGGGAACTCCTGGGGGGGAACCCGGGTCCCCATGGGTTCTGATGTTTGACAAAGGGGTTCCTGGCAAGGCTCCTCGGCCCAGGCCCCCAACTGCCCTACCCCCAAGCCCCCGCCCCAGCTGGATGGGGACAGGAGGGAGGGTCTGTTGTGACGGTGGGGGCTGTGGCCCTTCCGCTCTCCAGGCCTTTGCCTGGTGGCTGCACACCCCCCAGGCTCCTGGCCTCGTCCCCCCGTGCGGGTGGTGCCTCCATGGCTTCCAGAGGCCCCAGCTCCTCCTGGGGTGCCATCACCGTCCCCACTGCACAGGCTCAGACGGGTCAAGCCATGTGAGACCACAGAGCCTGGGGAGGAGCCCCAACTAGCTTGCAAAAGTCCTCTCTGGAGCAGACGCTTGGGCCCCCAGGAGACAGCGAACCCGTCACCGCTTCCTGCCCGAGCCTCCTTGCCCCCCAACTCCCTCCCCACCTGCTCCACACACTGACACATGGCCTCTAGGGCTGACGTCCCCTGCCCCCCACCCGCCCACCCAGAGCCCCTGAGTGTTTGCTGAGCCGATGACAGGGATGCAGATGGGTCTCTGGGGAGCCCAGTCAGCGGGACAGGAGAGATAAGGGAGGTGAGGCGCCCCACTGGCTTCCCAGGTTTAAAGGGCAGCTGGGTGTGGCCATTGTTAGTAGCTGTGGCCAGGGTGCCCCTGCATTCTTGACAGCCCTGCCCTGGGAGATGGCGCAGAGTGAGCTCACGCGGCTGGTGTCTGAATTCCTCCTTTATTGGTGGCAAGAGCAACCCCTCCTCCTCTCCCCCACCCCGCCCCCTGCCCAGGCTCCCCTCTGCTCCCCTTGGGGTGGCAGGGAGGTTCCTTCTTCCTCAGGACGTCTTCTGTGTCACCTCCGCAGCAGGGACGGCTGGCTCTGAAAATGTGGCCCCAGACCCGGATCCAGGAGGCAGCTGGGGAGACCAGGCCTGATCCAGGGGGTCCCTCAGTGGCATCCTGTGGAGACAGCCAGGTTAGGGGCTGGAGACTGCTGCCCACCTGGGGAAATGGCCTCCTCTGGTCACCAGCGCGGTTTCACTTTCCCACACCCCCGGCCCGCTGCCGCGACCGGTTCCTGCCACAGACCCAGGGCGCCCCGCGGGGACCAGAGCTCGTGGGCGGGGACGGCGGTGGTGCTCACCAGGCTTGCAGGGTGGACGTGCCGGGCCAGTGCAGGCAGAGGCGGCCCTCCGCCGGCGTGGTCCGGCTCGTGCTGTTCTCTGTGTCCTGCTCGCTGCCCCCCGCCCCAAGTCAGAATTAGTCCTGGCGGTGGGGGGCGCCCACCCGCCGCCGTCCCCCGGCTCCCAGGGCTAGCGCCCGCAGCCCCTCACCTGCGCTTCCCCACCAGGCCCTGGAGCAGCCGCTGCAGCCGCGCGCTGTCCCGCAGGCGGCTGAGCTCGCTGGTGAACGTCCCATCCGAGTGCCGCGGGGCCCTGGGGGTGGGGGATGGCGGGGCCGTGGGCCGTTTCAGGGGCGGGCGCGCGCATTGATGGGCCAAGGGTGCGGGGGCGGGGGGGCGTCCGAGGAGCGGGCGTGGGTCCCGAGGGGCCAGGGGCTCACCTGGGGGGTGCGGGGGGCGCGGCCGACCCCCGCAGCAGCAGCGGCAGCAGCAGCAGCAGGGGCGGGATGGCCATGGTGGGCGCGCCGGGGGAGCTGAGCGCCGCTGCCGCCGCCCGAGCCCGGCGCGGCCCCTTTATAGCGCCCGGGAGCGGGGCATCGATCGAAGCGGAAGGTCAGAGCCGCCCACCCAGCTGTCGCCCCGGCTGGCCGCCCGCCCCCACCGCCGCGTCGGCGCCCCTTGGCTGACTGGGGAGGGAGGGGAGCGCTGCGCCCGGGGCAAGGACGCACGGGCCGGCGGGGGTCGGGGAGGGGGGCCCCCGGGGTGCGGAGGGACCTCCGGGCGAGCCTGCGACCGGAACAGCATGTGCAAAGCCTCCGAGCCTTGCCCGCAGGCTCTTCGGGGGCGCCGCGGGGGCCGGGCTGGGCGAAACCATCCGCAGGGCCCTTTCCGCTCTAGGTGCAGAGGCGGGCTCGGGAGGGGAGATGCGCGAGGGCGGAGGGCGGAGGCTGGGCGAGGGCGAAGGGACCCGGAGCCTCGGAGACGCTGGGCGAGCGGTGGGAATAAGGGAGGCTGGGCCTGTGTGCCTCTTGTCTGTATTTGCCGCTCAGATTTTCCGTAAACCTAAAACTGCTCTTTAAGAAAAGTCTACGAATCATTTTTAAATGAATGTAAAGTTTGGGGCACCTGGCTGGCTCAGCCGGTAGGGCATTCGATTCTTGATCTTGGGGTTGTGAGTTCGAACCCCACACTGGGTGTAAAGATTACTTAAACGAATGAAGTAATATAAACTTAAAAAAATAAAATCTTTTAAAAAATGAATGTAAAGTTTAACACAAGAACTACTAGTTTATAACTTCATTTACTAGATTCGTAATTACTGTTTAAGGATTTCATTAGTACTAGTTTCTGACTTAATCCCGTATTGATTAAGCAGGAGTAACGTGGCTGCCCGCCTTTTTCCCTCCGGTCGCTCTGCATCGGCACCTCCTGTCCATCCCAAGCCCACATGCAGGCTCAGACCTCTCCAAGCCTCGGGACGTTCAAATGAAGGGCGCCCGGAGGCTGAGATCCAGCGCTGCCTGCAGCCCGCCTCCACCAAGGAGTCTGAGGCTTGGGGTGGCCTCCCCAACGTCCTGGCCTCCACCCTCGCGCCTCTCCCCTCCCGAGCCCACCTCTGAGGCGCTGGGGTCTCTCTGTGTTTAACGGACTGAGCCACCCAGGCGCCCCTGAATAATAGACGCTTATCAGATATGTGATTTGTAAATATCCTCTCCCATTCTGTGAGTTTTCACTCTCTTGGTGGTGTCCTTTGATGCACAAAAGATTTTAATTTTATGAAATCCAATTATCACTTGTTTTGTTTGTGCTTTTGGTGTTATGTTTAAGAAAACATTGCCAAATTCAAGGTCATGAAGATTTGCTCCTATATTTTCTTCTAAGATTTCTTCAGTTTTAGATCATATATTTAGGTTTTTGATCCATTTTGAGTTAGTTTTTGTATGTAGTGTGAGGTAAGGTTTGACTTCATTGTTTTGCATGTGGATACGGAGTTGTCCCAACACTGTGTGGAAGAAACTCTTCTCTCATTGAATACTCTTGACACCCTTGTTGAAAATCAATTGATTTTGGGGCGCCTGGGTGGCTCAGTTGTTAAGCGTCTGCCTTCAGCTCAGGTCATGATCCCAGCATCCTGGGATCGAGCCCCG